CGTACCGGCCATGGGAGATACTGTGGAAAAAATGTGTAGATGCTTATGGACAGTACTTTGAAGAATATTAACACTTTGTACGATATGGATCAATAAATTTAAAAAAATATATATATATTTCATGACTTTCGGACACACCTTGTAGGCCAGAAGTGGCCACAGTACAAGGGACCCCACTAGCAATAAAAAAGGTTTTTTAATGTATTTATAATTCATATTTTGAAAGCAAAATGTCACTGTTACTAAAAGAAGTTTAGGTCTATAGGTGGGCTATATCTTTACTTGGTTTAGATTGTTATTCAGAGGGTTCTGAGTTAAATTTGCAGACAGATTTGTGTGTGGGGTTTTCTGCCCACAAATTGAAACCTATGCCTCAGCCAAAGCTCAAATTTTTTGGAATGTAAAAATACCAGGCCCCTCCTATGGTTCATAGCCCACTGATGATAGCAGGAGCAGCCCCTGACATGCCTGGACCTCAGAGAGGTCAGCACAGACTGTATCTGGAGGCAGTATATAAACATTTACTAGTTTCTTGGGGTGGGTGAGACTGAGTCTGCTTGGTACTTTGGCCGGTGTTTGGCCTGTTGTACCAGTCCCGGATACTAGATGATGAGTGTAGAGCAGTCAGTGGAATGAGAATTAGCAGGGGAAACATAAACATTTGCTAAGGTTATATCCATGGGTATACTGGCGTCAGGGATATGACACTATGTTTTGGAAGGAATGTCACGCTTTACATGATCGTTATAACTTTCTGTGACTTGACATCAGCACCTAAACTATTGGACAGATTTTCTGAAGAATTTGGTATGAGGGATTTCCACCAAAAGTTGTCAGGCAGTTCTGATTTTTTTTAGCCAAATTGACCCACTTTACTTGAGGTTATAAATGAACTCTTTCACGTCAGGATTCATTAATAAAATTGGGCAAAATTTGATATGTGGGATCTCTGTAATGTTACTCAACCATTTTGATTTTTAGCCGGTTTTATCATTGTAATGTCTACTTCACATAAGGCTTGTTAATAGAGCTCAGTGAGCTGCCGAGAATACTGCTGGCAATTCTGCGTGCTATATTGTGGCATGCATATGGCTGTAGTTGTGTCAGAGCAGTCCAGACTAGTACTCTGGTGTTTTATTCTGTGCTGGGTCACCACTACATCACTTCTTTTGAAGATGATGGGCCTCAAACATAACATTCTTATATCTTGTTTAATTTGAAGTGTCAGTCTCTCGGAGTTTGTTCATTTCAGCAGTGAGAAGGATAAGGTTATCATTAGGTAGTGAGAACAACTTCATATCTTTATGTTCACATCTGCATATACAGACCAGTTAACATAACTACTTTTGCAACATGGAAGAACCTACAGCCAGTGGTGCATGCATAGCAAAACTGATAACAACACTACATTAACATTCTTATGAACTGAACAAATAACATGCATAATACCCATGCCATACGGGCAATGCTGTGCAAATAAATCCAAAACAAGAGATACTGAAGTAAATATCTTTTAAACGAATGGATGACGACCACAGGGAAAACAGTGGGATGTTAATTAAGAAATATTGCATTCACGCATGATATATGTAAATTTGACATACAGTACATCAATTTTAGGAAGATAGAATACCCCTGATGATGGCCATATACAGCTGAGGCGTAGGAGTATAGTGAGGGAGAAGGGTGCATTTGAGATGGAAGTATATATGTGCAGTTAATGTTCACCTACTTATTTCAATCTGAACTGTGTGCTGGACTGCTCTAGCGCTTCCATTTTTAGGGCTGTATCCCTTGGAATACAGTCTTAGGTTAAGTAAACCAGGGACATTCATTATATATGATGCATGCTTTGCTTCCCATAGGCAATGGAAGACGGTCAAGGAAGGTATGGGCCAGAATGTGACTGGTGGTCATTAGGTGTATGTATGTATGAAATGTTGTATGGAGAAACACCGTTCTATGCAGAGTCTCTCGTGGAAACATACGGAAAGATCATGAATCATAAGGTGAGTAAATGCTTCCCCGTCGCAAGCTTTTGTTCTCCAGATGAAATCAGATCAGCTTCTCCTAAGGCCTGTTCTTGTGATAACTTTAGGCATATGTGAGTCTCAGCTTTTCATGATTGTATCAAGAACAAATCTTGATCTTGATTTGAACATTGATCTTCAGTCTAGAAGTTCTTGAAAATTTTTGGAAGATTTCTTTGATTTTGCTCAGTAGCACGCAGACTACTTGAGCCATCAGAGTGAACAATGGTTGGCAATGCTAGCACAAAGAAACTTGTCAATATAACCTCTCTGTCTTCCTCCACCTTCTCCCCCTGTTTCTGCCCCAACTGCATCTTTCTGTGTTTCTGTGTACAGTTCAGAGTCTGATGCAAAAAGTGATAAGTAATACACTTGTGTGCATTGTGATGAAGTGACTAATGTTGTAAATTGTGATTATAATTAATTCTCAAAATTTTTCGAAATTATTGTCTGAAACTGAATAAAATGATACAGTAAAACTTGGTTATAGCAACATCGGTTTCTGCGACACCTTGTCTATTGCGTCAAATATTCAATGGTACGAACTAATTCCTCATAAAGCAACTGTTTTTATACCTTGCTTAGTATGACATGCACAAATGCNAAATTAGGAACAATCAGTTGGAGTATGAGGTGCTATTGGAAAGTTCCCTGACTGTTACTGTTGTAACTACCTCGTTGAAAGAAGATGAGGGGGGAGGCTAAGGTCACACTTCACCAAGCCTGTTACATCAGTCTTCCACATGACACCGCGCTGTGAACATGCATTGTTTTTACACAGGTGCTTTTTCAAGTTTATGTTTCGTTTTGTTTGTGATGGATGGCAAAATCAAGCAACATGTCTGCATCAAGTTTTGGTGAAGCTTGGTAAATCTGCTACAAAATCCCTTGAAATGTTTCATGAGGCTTTAGGAGAACATTCTTTAAGCCGGACAGGCGTTCTTGAATGGTGTTCATGTTTTAAGGCCTTTCGAGTGTCAGTTGAAGATGACAAATATTCAGGGCAACCAAGCACCAGCAAAATGACAGAAAATGTTGAAAAATTGCAAGAACTTATCCACGAAGACTGTCGCCCAGCAATCCATGAGCACACAGACACCTTTGGGATCAGTTATGGAGTTTGCCAGGAGATCTTAACAGAACATTTGAACATGCGCCACTTTGCCACAAAGTTTGTTCCCCAAGTCTTGACAAATGATCAAAAGCAGCAGCACATAAACATGTGTCTTGAGCTACAAGAAATGGCTAACGAGGGCCCACCTTTTATCTCTAGGATCATAATGGATGACAACAGTTGGATTTGCAGTTAAGATCCAGAAGCAAAGCAACAAGCATCACAGTGGAAGAGCCCACAGTCACCAAGAGGAAAACAGGCACAGCAGGTCCAGAGATCAACAAAGAACATGCTCATTGTTCTTTTTTTTTTTCGATGTGAAGGGGAGTGTTCACAGGGAATTTGCTCCGCCTAACACTACGTTCAATTGTAACTTTTACTGTGACTTGAGATGCTTGAGAGAAAATGTGTGATGAAAAAAACCACATCTGGCTCTTTCATCACAACAGGCCCCCGCACATGTCCCTGAAAACCACAGAGTTTGTCGTGAAGAACACCATGAATGTTGTTCCCTGTCTCCCTACTCGCTGGACTTAGCCCCCTATGATTTTGCGTTGTTTCCCAATTTGAAAATTAAATTGAAGGGGTGACATTTTGAAACAGCAACTGACATCCAAAGGGAATCGCAAGCAGTACTCGACAGCATTTAAGGAAATGTCTTCCACAAAGCTTTTGAAGTGTGAAAACAATGATGGGATCGCTGTATACATTCCCAAGGAAACTATTTTTAAAGAGGTGGCAGACAAAATTTAGTAAGTTAAGGCAGCATTTCATTTTTGACCTAGTACGGGAACTTTCTGTTAGTAATGTTTCATTCATGAAAATGGTACTCACTCAAAGTTTTACAATTTTTATGAAATACTTTGAAAATATCTACCTTTTTATTAAATAGTTAAGTATAGGCTTGGGAAGGGATTCACTGCCTTACTACTGGAGCCAAAAATGGGCCTTTTATACTAGTCCCTGTTGACAGATGGGTATTGAGCATTGGTGGAACGGTAATTGCAGGGTTCTCAGAGAAAATCAGTCCCTAGTGACGCATTGTCATCCACACTTCCCACATAGACTTCCAGGAACTGAACTCTGGCCTCCGTTGTGAGGAGATGGGATCAGCAACGTTGTTTATATGCATTCATATGTCCTCCTTGTTTCCAGAATTGTTTTGATTTCCCAAGTGACCCAGGATATGAAGTATCTCAGGAAGCCAAAGATCTTATGAAAAGTCTTATTTGCAGTTCAGAGTATCGATTAGGACAACATGGTATTGAAGACTTCAAGGTAGGATAAATTATTGTGACTCTGAAAGTGTAGTTAATGCTTAGTTTTACCGTTCTGATGGTAAGGAACATAACCACAACAAATAAGAACAACTAATGTATGTCTGTAATGTGTATGTGATCACCAGGTAGTGACAGAGATCATTTCATTACATTGCCATTGGAAAGTTTATAGGCCTTATTTTGGAGAGAAAACTCTCGATAAAATTATCTCTTGACAGCAACCCGAGAGCTGTCGGAAGAGTAAAAGGTTTCGATAAACAGTTTCTGATGTAATTTTTAGATTGTAAATTTACCGTCTATAATGCAACAATAACCCTATATAAAAGACACTAAAAATATATTTAATATACTAAAAGTGCTTGTGAAATACTTTAAAATGTCATTAAAATTATACATTCATTCCTTGTTGCAACATGTTTCCGGCACACATGGACCATCATTAGGCAATATTTTTTGTTACTGGGGAGACCACTGCACTGTACACTTTGTCTTCTGTGCCTTTAGGCACGTCGTCATTTTTGTTATTAGTTTCTTTCTTAGAATATTTCCATTGTATCTTTTGTGGTGGCTATTTCAGTGTTTTTATGTCGTCAGGAAAAATACAAAGGAAACTAATAACAAAAACATCCATATGCCTAATGTCTACCGCGAATTCCCAGGCGGGACTAACATAGGTCATTACAGATCTAATGAGAGCTCACTGATGAATACCCTTGTTATGTAGCTTCCACACAGAAAACAGCCTATTGCCCAGCAACGGACTCCATTTTTCTGTTGTGCACGTGCCCCAATGCCTCTATGGCTCAACAGTTCCTGCATAGAGTAAATATGCCACAATATATTCATCAGCGCTGCTTATATCATTAAATTTTCCATTTATTTGTGTTCTAAGTTTTATGTTTTTTATTGTCTTTTTTTTTTTTTTTGCCTTTTGCTTCATTAATCCAGATGATCTCCCCCCCCCATTTTCTCCAGATTAGCAGCAGTAGACCATAATCTGCATTGTCATTTAAACACAGTATAAGAGGAATTATGATTGTAAAATTACATATGTAATTATTCTTTTGTTAGAATCATGCATGGTTTGCCAATTTGGATTGGGATGGTATCCGAGACAGTGTAGCTCCTTACAAACCAGAAGTTAGCAGTCCAACGGATACATCCAATTTTGATGTTGACGACACTGATATTCGAACATCAGATGCTGTACCTCCAACCGCAAATTCTGCCTTCACTGCACTTCACCTTCCATTTGTGGGCTTCACTTTTACGCAAGGGAGGTAAGTACATTTGGGTTTAACTGAATTATTTTTCTTCTTTTGGTGTTGGTAGAATTCAGTTTTAGTGCCAAGTGTGCCAGTTGAATGTGTAACCCTCCTGCTTTGTTTTTGGTGGTCCTGGATTCAGATCTTGGGCCAGAGTATATCCCGACTGAGGCTTTTTATGGTTTTACTCAGACACTCCAGGCAGGTACCAGTGTAGTACCCATTTCTTTCCATATCTTTTCCAATTCAGTATGCCATTCTGCCATTCACTGCTGCAGCATAGTTTGAGCCAAGAATAAATAAGATGCAGTATCAGTCGTCAGCAAATAAAATTCTATTTTTAAAACTATGTATTTTAAGCTCTTGAGTGGCATTCTTGGAACTGTTCTGTAATTCACTTTCTGTTGGTACTTGGTATATTGGGGAAAAGTTTTGGGTTCAGTTTGTTAGTCTGATGTTTCCCCAGACTGTGTGACAGATGTTGCATGTAGTTGATATGTTTCTCAGGAGATTGCAGCACCATATGGTACTCCTTATCCTCTGCTTTCTGAATGCAGTAACAATATGTTTTGTATTTTAGAGAACTCAGATTTTATGATAACTTAGTGAGTATAAATTTGAAGTGGTGCAGGAGGATAGAGGACTCACTTTCTTCGTGACTATTTTTCATAAAAGGTGAAAAAGTTAAAGCTATCCTTTTAACAGGCTGTGGAGGCCTGTGGGTTTGTGAGGCTCCCACATTTTGTAGACAGTTGTCTTGCACATGGCAGTGAGGTTGTGCGCTGGTTCCTAGATACAGACTGTACAGCATATTTAAGTTGCCTGGAAAATGTTTATCTTTTGAGATACGAGGTTCCCATGTTTGTGAATTTGATGCAGGTCAGATCTCTCAAATCCAGCACCCTAAAGAATTTTCTGAACCACAAGTGGTAAGTTATTCTGATATCAAAAGGCCTAAATAAGCCACCAGAATTTATGATGTGTTAGGGTTGGTACACTTAAGGTACTGGTGCAAGGAAGAAGGTAACAATGCTTGCACACACCAATGCCACTTTTGCTTGCTGGTCTCTGAAGCCATCCATATTTAGGAGCTGTCTGGCAAACTAAACTCACGCTGGGGCATGGGAGATACTGGACCGTGGAGTCCTGGGTTCAAGTGGTCCAACTTCATATTGACATTTCAGGGGAACCTACTGCTTCCATCTTCAGAGGAGGTACTTCATTTTTATTGTGACGGATTTGCTCAAAGCATTAAGCTGTGGCGCCAGAAAATCCGTTGCTAGGTAATGTAGTCAACAGTAGAACTTTGGTTGCTTAGGAGCTAACATTTTGAGAAGCATGTTTTTTCATGACAGCGAATCATTTGTAGGAATTTCCACGGATACAAGCTAGCCTACATAAGGAGCCGTGGAGACTCTTCATTGATTCATTTGACAGATGTCATTGAAGGCAGTCAGAAAGTCTTTCATAAGGCAGTTCAGTAGTTGAAGTGTTAACCAGATAAGAGTCTTAACCAGGAAATGACTAGTAAGCAGATGTTGAAGACTTTATTTTTTGTGATATAGTTACAGTAATCTTAGAGCGTTATAATTTCTGTAGTTACAACTCGTGAGCGTCCAGTAAATCTATTCGTCTTATCCAGAACGAATTATTATTCCTCATGCTAACCAGGAATATATGACAGTATTTTGAGTATTGCCAGTAGCCTTGTGGTTATTGTTAAATAAAATGTGTGCCTCTAAATTAAATTTTCATTTTTTTCTGAAGAGAGAGTAATCCAGATTAATAAGAAGTGTTGCTTCTTTCAGCTGCATGTCTGATTTGGGTTCCATACCTCTTGATCAAATGTCTTCCAGCAAGTTTGAAGAGGAGAGGTTACAGCAGCTCGAAGACGAGAATCAGCGCCTTCTTAAGAACCTTACAGGTATAATTGTGATTTAGAGGCAGTTGTGTAACATGAAGTGCATCTTATACTTTGTTCATAGAAGTGCCTCCTCTTCCCTCAGAATATGGTTGTGTCCACTTTCAGTATCACAGTTTACTTATAAAATTAAAAAAAAAAAATATTGGAATGAGGATTCAAGCTACACAATAGAACTTTTCCAGCAGTACTTGCACAGAGCCAGTGTAGATGGTGTTGTTAACCCTGCTGGGAATCAAACCCTGATTCCTCAGCCATCTGACCCATAGCCTACTCACTGTACTGATTGAGGTAACCTACCTCTGCTCTGTCTTAGTAAATATTGTAGCATGTTGCTGTGCAACGATCACAAGAAGCAACATGTGTCGCTTGGTAACGTCTGGTAGACCTGTCAGCAATACCCGGGCTGTCTCTAGGCAAGTGCTTGGTAAATGAGTTCCCACGGCAGTGAATATGCATGCAACAGCCAAGGTATTTTTGGACTATAACAGTGGAAATGCTGTTTTATATGTGGTTCATACTGAAATTTTATAAGCAGAGTGTCTTGTTCTGGAGTTGATAGTTGGCGGTTGGCAGGAGGGAATTGACAGGCCTTCTGCCTGGACGGCTGTGACGAGATCCTGAGTGCATGAAGCTGCAGAATCTCCACTGATAGGAGCTTTTGCTAGGGAGCGGCTGTTGAATAACCTGCGTGCCGGAGAAGACTTAGTGTTTGCAGCAGTCATTTCTAAAGTATGGAGATCAGCCAGGGCGCTGTAATTGCTTGTAGTTCCGAGTGGTGTCAATAAAGCCAGTCACCAATTCATACTCCATCTATAGTCACAGCCAGAAATATGTGACAGTATCCTACACTTGTTTTTTTACATTTTCACATTTTAAATACAAGTACATACAGTGGTGAATATGATTCTGTGTAGTTTAGTGGATATTAACGATTTGTAATCAGAATATTTTTTTCTTGATCATTTTGTTAAGTACGATCAGTGATATGATATAACCTCAAAATGGTAATATTTGTTATCAGTTTTGTATCATTAAGTTATTTCTTTCAGAGTTGAAACGTTTACTGCAGAACCAAGGGGGATTGTCAGGTGTCGGTGAGGATGGAAGAAGAATATCTCCCACATCCGAGAGTGGAAATGGTATGAGGAGATTGCAGGATGAAATTAACACACTAACCAAAAAGAACTGTGGTAAGCAGTGTTACCTGTCCTGAGACCTAGATAATATGCTTTAATACAATTACTAATGAAATCTTCATGCAAAAGGGAATCCCAACCTTGTAATAGGCTGAAACACTTGTAGTGACCCCTGTTTGATCCAGGTGATAATGCTGTGACTTTTACTTGAAAAGCACACTGTTCAGATCTCTTGTCAGAAGAGCGGGTATTATAATCAAGGTCCTCTGCTTGACTCTGGTTACATTCTAAGGTGGTACCTTAAAGTGTTGTGTAGTCCTTTGTTTTTACATCCGTTTTACATCCGTAGGCCTACAGCTTGACACACTATGATCTGCGCTGTTGGCAGTGTTATTAAATAAGCCATTATATTTGAACAAGTGATACATTTTAATGGCATTTAATGTGAATGTTATTGTGTTGGAATTTACCAAATCTTTGTAATTTGTATTCAGGACAGCCCAGTCAAGGTAACAGTAAGAACAGACTGGATGGCTGAGGACTCATTGTTCAATTTCTGGGGGGGGAAGATATTTTTCTCTTCTCCACAGCATTCAAATTGACTCTGGGATCCATCCAGCCTGTTGTTGAATGTGTACTGGGGGCAGTATGTTATGTGACTGGAGTGTGAGGCTGATCATTCACATCGATCTATGACTGAGATTATAAATGCATGGAGTGTCTCCACACTTCCATACAGCACTATGGAATACAGGAAGAAGTTGACCTGTTTTACCTATCAGGAATATGATCGTACTGCTTATGTAAACTTCTGTCCTGGGAGTGACAGGATTGTTACTTCATATTGGGTCCTGAAATTTTTTGTTGTGAAAGATCATCAAATCACATGCAGCTTTTGGGATTACCAGGTTTTTGGAATTTTCCCACCATCCATTATTCTAAAGAACACTGTGTTTCGGTAAGTAGATCTGTTTCAATCCTCATGTGTTGGAGTAGGAGACAGTTTATTGGGTCCATTACAAATATCTGGCCTCAGTCACTGGAGGTTGTTCAGTGTTTATTTTTAACTTTCAGTCATCTGTGTAGCCTTTTGTTTAGTGCCGGTGGCTGACTAGAGGAAGAATGAGTCCAGGAATATGAAATCTGTAATATCAGTGGATCATAAACAAATTTGCAACGTTTCATTGAATCATTTTTTTTTATATGTTGTGAATTGTTAGATAGGAGCCCGGATAACGTAGTCAGTATATTGACTAGCTATGGGCTGAACAATCAAGGGGTTGGAGTTAAAGTCCTGGTAGGGTCATGAATTTTCACTTCTCCCATCGTCCAGACCAGCTCTGGGGTCCACCAAACCTCCTATACAATGGGTACCAGGGGCTCTTTCCCAGGGGTAAAACAGCTGGGGTGTGAAGCTGCCAACTCGCCTCCAACTAGTGCCAAGGTCAAGAAAATGTGGCTCTATAGATCCACTCCCCCATACATCTTCATGGCATAGTGCTTAATTAGTTAAGCACAGGGCAGCTTTACCATACCTTTACAGATTATTAAATATTTTATATGGATATATGTATGTAACAGTTACACATTCTTATATGCTACTTTTGAAACAGATCACAGTCTTTGTTGTGGTTGAAGTTTCATATACAAATGTACGGAACCTGTGTACAAGATTGGCTGAACACCCTGCATCCAGAGGTGTGACAAGGAAAAAGAATGAGATATTTAGTGGAACCCTTAGACCACCATAGCCAGTAAGTTCGTGGACTGGCCACAAAGTGTTGCAGTGCACTACATTGGATAGGTTGAGGCATGATATGATTACCTGTCAGTTCATCTCTCATCACAGCAAGAGCAGTTGAGTATAAGCAGAACTATGGCCTCTGTTGCGAACTGCAGTTAAATGCGACTGGCGGAAATTGAAAATGTGGCAGTTCAAACAATGTGGAAACATCAAGTTCAGCCAAAAACTAGGCAAATCCGCTAGTGAAATGTTCAACATGACGAATTGGCTGTTGCTACATGACAACGCCTCTGCACATCACTCCGTCTTGTCCAAGAGGAACTGGCAACGCAACAGGTCACCGTTTTCCCACACCCTCCATACTCACCTGATCTCGCACCATGCCATTTCTTTCTCTTTCACCACTTGAAAGCAAAGCTACGTGGTTGTAGAGTTCAGTCATCCGAGGAGGTGTTGATTGCCACAGGAGATGCCGTATGGGAATTTCCTGCCAATATGTTTCAGCAATGTTTTTGGCACCTATATCAACGTTGGCAGACTTGCGTAGCGGCCAACGGCAACTATTTTGAGGGCCGATGTGGATCTGTGTGAGTGTATGTGAATACCTTGTAATATGATGCGATAAAACCCCAGTCCACAAACTTAATGACTCAGTGCAGCCATGAAACCATTCTGTACTTGTGAAACCTCACATCAAGTGAAGTATTGTATCTAATAAAGACTTTCTTATGCTCCTAGATGAAGCCCAATATAAAGCATTTTATTATTTTTTTGTAATTAGTGCTTTCTGATTTTGTAAGTAATGTGCAATTGGTATAAGAAATTTCTGGCCCTCCAAAATTTGCACTTCGATTTAATGATAGAACGATGATTGATATTCATGTCTTCTCTATGCCAGAAATTGTTACTGTACAACCATAGTCTTCTTTGACTAGTGACATCAGATATTGAACAGACCATATAAAAGAACCACCCCACTTGTTGCCATAGTTACTTTGATTTTCAGCTGAAGTTTAGTGTTTGTTTTATATGTCATTAATTATTTTAGAAACTGACGTATCATTAAATTATATTTATTTGTGTAGAAGCAGTTTCTGTAAGTACTTACATAAAGACATTATTTTGTGTGTGGTATTAGAAAGAGGAGCAGTGTTTTGATATAGTTTTGTGCTAGCTCCATTTAGTGAACGAAGTGCAAGAGAAGTTATTCTTTCGGTGATTCATTAAATAAGGATTTCACTGTATGGATGTTATACAGAGTTTCAATGTATTTGTTCTTAATTTCTTCACAAGTTCTCTGTCACTCTGTGTTTATGCCATACTCACTAATCCCAAGTGACTCAAAATCAAGAGGTTTAAACACAAGAAAAGAGGAAATTTTGGTGTTGTGTCAGGTTGTAAACATAATCAAGTAATTATATGCAAAGCTTTGTTTTTTGTTCTAAGTGTATTTTTGTGTTTAAATGCCAGAGACATGCCATTGACATTACTTTTAAAACGTTCAGTAGATTTCACTGATGTCTGGGAGGAATATACTTGCTGTCTGCTTGCTTAGCCCTCTTCAACAATGAAGGTGAAAGCAGTAGATTTTCCAATAAACTGATAAATTTCTACCTTAACACATGGCACCACATCCCAGAAAGACATACATGTTCATCTGAGGTTCTCAAGGCTGTGACCATGGGGATTACCGTCTTCTGGGATGGAAAGCTGTGTAATCAGATACTTACTGACATGGCCGCACCATAGCTCAAGCGTTTAGTCACTGGCTTCCCACTGTGGCAGCCCAGGTTCAATCCTGGGTCTGGTCAAGTGGGATTTATGGTGGACAAAGTGGCGTTGGTGCCGGTTTTCTCCGAGTACTTCAGTTTCCCCTGCCAATCTTCATTCCACCAAATTCTCCATCATAATCACCCGGGGCAGGCTACAATAGGCCAATCAGTGCCTGCTGTGCCGAGTGGACCCAGTTGGACTCCACCCCCACTAAGTGAATTTTAATTACTGACCTTTGAGAGGCATGTGGTGCCTACATTTTCAGGGAAATTATCCTGAAGATGGAGAGAGCAGGTTCTACTAAAACTAGATAAATATGTACCAGACTGCATGTTGCTACATATCAGAAGACAGTAATCCTCACTTCTTCGAAGAGTGCTACATTCAGGGATGTAACAACATGGGGTCCAATAGAAGTACACCAGTTTTTCAGAGGAATGTACTGCCTAAGAGTAACTGAAGCAAACCAGCAACAAGTGGGCCATTTGTCTCTTCTGTCAGGCAGAAGTAATTATATGAAATTGGAGATGTGATTTGGTAATTTAGAATGATACTGCTGATTTATTTCCGTTTTAGTTTTCAATTAAGATAAGTATGTAAGATTTCAATGCACTTGATAGCAGTTTTATGCTTATAGCATAAGTAGTGTCTCGGCTGTTTACCTCTGTCAGGTTCTGTTATTCAGCTTCGATTTCTGCCTTGTCCTGAAGGGAGTTCATGTAACTTTTCGCCAGAGACTTGTTGCTGTCTGCTCTGTGTAAATATATACATTGTTTGTTCTCTGCCGTAGAGTTGGAAAGTCAGTTGAAACAGCAGCAGCCTTCAGATCTGAAGAGGGAAATAACAACAGTAGATGGAGAAGGTTCTCAAAGAGTGAGAGAAATGGAAAAAATGATTAGGTTGCTGAAACAAGAAAAAGAAGAGGCACAAAAGGTAAAAATCTATATTTCTGTTATGTGAAAGTTTGTTTCTGTCTTAACACATAAATTCTTGGAGGAAAAGGTAAAGTTGTCCCTGTGCTTAACTAATTAAGCGTTACACCATGAAGACATATGGGGTAGTGGATGTATACATCCATGTTTTCTTGACCTAGGCACTAGTTAGAGGTGAGTGGTCAGCTTCACGCCCTGGCCGCTTTACCCCCAGCGAAAGAGCCAGCAGTACCCATTTGATAGCAGGCTGAGTGTGCCCCAGAGCTGGTCTGAACGACATGAAGAAGTGGATATTGTTGTCCCCACCAGGACTCAAACTCTGACCCCACAGTCATCCAACCCATTAGCCTGTCACTATACCAACTATGCTGTGAATTCTTGGAGTAGAAATTATATATAGTGTGTGTTGTGTGGTTGCGAAGACTATGCATTTATTAGAAAACCTGAAGGAAAGAGATGACTTGAAAGTCCTAGGTATAGAGAGGGTGATAATATGAAAGCAGGTCTTAAATAATAATATGGCAGATTGTGAACTGGATTCATCTGGCACGAGATGGGGAGCAGTGGCAGGATGTTGTGAACATGGAAATGAACCTTTGGATTCTGTATGGTGCTGGGAATTTCTTGAGTAGCCAAGCAACTGTTAGCTTCCCCAGGGCTCTGCACTCTGGAGCTAGTTAGAATGGATAACATGGAGATGCATCACATAGCTTGACACAGTGTAACTAGGTAGAAGGGTACCAGCATTTTAAAGGAATTCACTGCCTCCACTGACTGGATTTCAGCTTCTGACAGAGGAAGAAATTGCTGCAGTGATTTTTTATTCATTTTCATCAGCACAGTCTGTGTTATTAAATTTTCCATTTGTTTTGAAAGGCTTATTTTTCTTTTACGGCTGTCTTTTGCTTCATTAACCCTGATGTCTCTGCCAGTTAATCTGCATTAATGATGGTTTACTGGTGCTGCTGCTGCTGTCGCTGCCACCTCCACAATTGTCAGCCATTGATTATGTTGCAGGATAAAGTGGACGCCCAAGAAAAGCTGAAGTTGCAGGATAAGGAATTGAAAGATGCCTTAGGTCAAAGAAAATTAGCAATGGCTGAATACACTGAAGTAACGGACAGGTTTGTATTTTGTTACATTTGTGGTCTATTTAACTACACTATCAGGAGCTCAGAGAATATAGTGTTGAGTGATTGGGGGTAGTCAGTAATGAATTGTACGGGACACGCAGTAGTTTGTAGTTTGTTTAAAGATGCCATCAGTAACTCAGACTGTACGGCCTTCAGTTGTATGATGGTTGCTGAATTGGCAAGGATGGAAGGCAGTGGAAATGTCCCAACTGTGGTATTGTCCTATCCTGGCATATATCTGAAGAAACAAGAGAAAGTTTTTCAGCCAGTGGCTACATTCTGCTTCCATATAACAATACTTTCAAGTGTACTGTGAAATATAGATTTCCTAATTTCCTTGGATATATGTTTATTCCATGAGATAACAGCGGCAATTTTTGAAACCCATTTAAAAAGTATTTTAGTTTCAGAAAAATGCAAAATTTGTGTGAGGACATATCAGTTGACTATGATATTATCACGATCTTTGAGTGACTATAAACGTGGTTTGGATTAATAAGTGGATTTATTGAACTCTTACAGATCGTAAGTACAGGTAAGGATTATGCTGTCACAGTTCTACACACTTCACAAACCACTATGGTACACACTAGATCTTCTCAGTGCGTTAGAGTCTTCACTAACCATTGCTTGGTAGCGGCTTCTGACAGATGTTCCCCTTCCTCTGGGTTCCCAGTCTGTCACCGGCCTCAGCTACCAGCTTCTAACAGCAGCAGCTCCCAACAACTGAATCCCAGTGGTTAACTATTTCACTGCCACTCTTAACTTGTCTTACTTACAACATCTCAGCACGGACTGCATAGAAAACACCGCTCCTCTGTTGCAGTGCAATTGTTGTGTTCGGTGTCTGTTGGGGTGTCCATGTGATCACTACTCAAGCCATTGCCTAGCAACGGCCGTTGTTTGCAGAGCCATTACTTAGCAGTGGATGTTGTATAGTTCCATATTTCATGGTCATTGCCTAGCATAAGGCCTACATCCCACAATATATATTGCAACACAGCTCTTTGTTACACTACTGACCAAAATGTGCTCTGATTTGTCTTGGAAGATAAAGTATCATGAAGAGAACATGTGGTCTTCTTCAGTGAGTGTACTGTGATAAGCATTCTGGAACTTAAAATGTAGAATGCTGCCTGTTCTGGAAGAAAAAGTATAGTATAAAAATGTTTTGACCTTCACTCAGTTTTAAGTGAGAAACCTTTGCATTCCCCCCCTCCAAACACACACACAATCCACCCCATCCAAAAGAAGTTAGGATATTTCCAACAGTTATGCAGAAATGTCTTAAGTAAATTTCTTTTCAGGTTTTCACTCTTAGCTCAGTGCTGAGTTATTTGGTGCCATGTTGACTTAGGTTTTCTACATGTTCGGATCTGTATCGGACTTGATATTACAGTCTCATATTCTGAATGCCGATCACAGTGGCCATGTGGTCTGATGCATGAGCTGTCTTCACTCATTCGAACACTGGGATCGTGGAATCAAATCCCACTCAAGACATGGATGTCTGTATATGCATTTATTCTGTATTTGTGTTGTCCTGTGTGTAGGTAACAGTCTTATGATGGGCTGATCACTCATCTGAGGAGTCCTACCATCTGTGTAAAAGATTACGAAACTGAAGAAGAGGCCAGGGTTCAACAGAGGGCTGTAGAGCCATTGATGAATGAACAAATAAATGAATGAATGAATAAATATTCTGAACAGTCAAATTCTGATCACACATCTGTTGCTTTCTCTTCATCATGGTCAATTTCAGATGTCAGCCATAATGATTTCCCTTTCAAAGACTACGGCTTTGTCAGATGTGACACCATGTAGTCTGGTATATAGGTACCAGTGGTTTGGATGAACTTGATGCCTCTGTCTGCAGCATAGAAAATGACGATGGCAGTGAGAGGTTACTGCTAAGCATTGGCATCTTTCTGCCACACCACACCATGTGACATTCCAAAGATTTGAATCTTATTATTGATTGCTGTCACTTCCTTCCTACTAACCATGCCTCCTACTTATGCTGCTTGTATTTCTTGAATATTACTGTTATGTAAGTACATGGGATACACTGTCACCCAACTCATACAGTAATCATATTCCCAAGAACACTCTTGTAACTCAAAATTTTTGTTGTGTGTTTGGTTTCATGCCTATAAATTTAATTGAAAAGTATGTAGCACAGTTGTATTCTGGGGTGTGATGCTATGTAGCCTTCTAGAAGTTCACTGATGTTTCACAGAAATATACTCCCATCTTCAGGGCCACTCTGCTTTCCTCTTGCTGGTTGTTTGCTCAACTTATTTTCTGAACCTGAAGATTGAGGCACTACTTTTCTCTGAAACATCAGTTAACTTCTACCAGACTGCATGGCATCACATCTGACAAGATAGTACTGTTTCTTGTCGCTGATTTAGGAGTCTCAAATGTAACTTTAATACCAGTCATTTGAGACATTTCAATTATCTTTTAATATGTTATTATTCTTAGTGGGGTGAGACTTCAGTCCACTTGATAGTGCAGCCACTGTTTGTCCTGTTGTACCAGCTCCAGATGATAAATGTTGGTAATTGTGGAGCAATTGGTGGAATGAAGATTGTTAGGGGAAACCAAAGTACTTGGGGAAAACTTGCCCCAGCACCACTTTGTCCACCACAAATCCCACATACCCAGACCCAGCTGCTGTGGTGGGAAGCTGACAACTAACTGCCTGAGCTGCAGCCATGTGTAGTCTTTGTTGAAAGAAATCATGAAATCACATTAGCTCAAGATTTATGAAATGATGTAAGTTGAGGAGGCATTACGTACTTGAGCTGGCACTCACAAAAACACTGACAGCTGATAGTACACTAAGGATGTCTTTTAGTTAGGAATTTGTGGAAACTGTTGACAAATTGTATTTCTAGAAGCACGCTATTTTTGTAACAGAGTTATAATGCAATGGAAACCCCATTTAATGTTCCTCAGTTTTAGTCATTCCCTTACTTAACATCCAGTTTGATTGAGCATGAGTNCAGTCATTTGAGACATTTCAATTATCTTTTAGTATGTTATTATTCTTAGTGGGGTGAGACTTCAGTCCACTTGATAGTGCAGCCACTGTTTGTCCTGTTGTACCAGCCCCAGATGATAAATGTTGGTAATTGGGAAAACTTGCCCCAGCACCACTTTGTCCAACACAAATCCCACATACCCAGACCCGGCTGCTGTGGTGGGAAGCTGACAACTAACTTCCTGAGCTGCAGCCATGTCTAGTCTTTGTTAAAAGAAATCATAAAATCACGTTAGCTCAAGATTTATGAAATGATGTAAGTTGAGGAGGCATTATGTTACTTGAGCTGGCACTCACAAATACACTGACAGCTGATAGTATACTAAGGATGTCTTTTAGTTAGGAATTTGTGGAAACAGTTGACAAATTGTATTTCTAGAAGCACGCTATTTTCGTAACAGAGTTATAATGCAATGGAAACCCCATTTAATGTTCCTCAATTTTAGTCATTCCCTTACTTAACATCCAGTTTGATTGAGCATGAGTTGATCTCTTTGTTAAATTCTGTCTGTTTAAGATTATCCTCAATTAAGTTTTCAGTTCCACTATTCCCCAGTTAAAACTTGCTGTATACTTTCTATGTGATTTTGCCAGGTTATCTGAATTGCGTCAGCAGAAGCAGAAGTTGTCACGACAAGTACGAGACAAAGAAGAAGAGTTGGAAGTTGCAATGCAGAAGATTGATAGTCTTCGTCATGACATCCGAAAGGCAGAGAAACTTCGTCGTGAATTAGAGGCANCCCCCAGTTAAAACTTGTATGGGGCTTTCACTGTAAAATGGTATGCTTCTTGCTGTATACTTTCTGTGTGGTTTTGCCAGGTTATCTGAATTGCGTCAACAGAAGCAGAAGTTGTCGCGACAAGTACGAGACAAAGAAGAAGAGTTGGAAGTTGCAATGCAGAAGATTGATAGTCTTCGTCATGACATCCGAAAGGCAGAGAAACTTCGTCGTGAATTAGAGGCACGGGTGGAGGAGGCAATGGCTGAAACTGGCAAGGAACGGAAACTCCGTGAACGGAGCGAGGAATACTGCAAGCAAATGGAAGAAGAGACAGAGAAACTGAGGCAGAGAAACCTTGTGGCAGGAGCTGACACATCTGCTGCAAATCAGTCGCACGCCTCGCAGGAGATAGTGAGGTTAAAAGGAGAGGTGGAGAAAATTGAGGTGCAGTACAATGAAAGCCTGGCCCAGCAGCAGAGTCGCTACAATTTGGAGCTGGCAAGCCTGAGGGACCAGTTGCAGGAAGCAGAGAGCAGGAGGGATGCCCTTGAAAGGGAGGTGAGAAAGTTTAGGTTTTTGTTAAGTAAATCCATTATTGCATACATTTAATTTCCTCTGAAGTTGTAAAACTACATTTATATAGATATTGATGTAAATAATAATAGTATGTAATAGATTTCAAGTATGAGGATGAGTTAGATAAGTTATTTTTGTAATAGTGAGGTTTGTCAGAATTATTGGGTTTTTGGACTTCCTCCATCACCCAGTGTTCTAAAAACTGGGGAACATAACACTTTGGAAACTGGATCTTTTTTCATCCTCAGGTGAGTGGGAGACCCCTATTCTGTTGGCCGAGTTAATGGAAACCCTAATTTAGTGTAAGAAATTTGCATGTGCAAGAATGACTTGACAAGATTTTGGAGAAATTTAAAAAATAAGACCTTTTTGTACTGGTCCAATTTCTTGGCTGTAATCACAGTTTACAACACCAGACACTTCAGCAGTACATTAAATTGTGCTACCTGTCTCTTTTGATATCAGATCCCTCCCTACACAATGAACCATTTTCATAAGTCATTATATTTGTAAATACAGTTGTAGGGCCATGTCCTTTTCCATTGTTGGCTAGGGAGTGGGGGGAGAGAATGAGACAGATTTTGTTAACAAATTGCTTGAGAGTAATCTTGCCAGCTGTTACAATTCTTATGGAACCGTGCATGCTTTGTATGCAAAACAAAAGCAGTTATATGAAAATCTGCAAAGTTGAAGATTCAGAAATCAGCGTTTAAATCAAGACTGAGTTTTTTCCCCCTCAGTTTTTGATCTTGAAAATTGAGATTCACATGTGTCATTCCCACAAGATATTAAAAATAGAGATTTCACTGTTATAAGGTTTGAGATTAGAAGCTTTACTGGAGTTTTATTTTTAATGATTTTAATTATGAGCCTATATGAAGGCTTGCTTTCTTGGTTAGGATACCTGTACTGTTGTTTCATCACTTGTACAGCTGTTGGTGGTGGTAGTAGTAGTAGTAGTAGTAGTAGAGGTGGGCCTAACTGCTGGCTTGCTTTCTTGGTTAGGATACCTGTACTGTTGTTTCATCACTTGTAGCGCTGTTAGTAGTAGTAGTAGTAGTAGGGGTGGCCCTAACTGCTGGCCCTTGCACGATGACCTTTAGTGATCTGTTATGTGTACTCCTCTGTTTTAACCCCACAGCAATCCCACTCTTCAAATGGAGTCTAGGATTTTACTTACAGGGGCATCATGATAGTCATCTGGTTCCAAGAAACAGTGGCCCAGGTGACGGAATTTCAAGCAGTCTGTGACTTCACTGTCATATATGATTTGTGTTGCTGATTCATATTTTTTCTAGGCACCTTTCTCAAATAGGACTATCTGTTAGTCCCATTTTGAACAGGTGTCCCTTCAGGTGACAATGTCTGTAGGTAGTCCTGTTGTTTTGTTTAAACAGTTATTTGGTTCTTGTGGGAGAGGGTCCTTATAGGAATCCATTTTCCAGTTTGAGTCCTGTTAATAACTCCTATTACGAGTATTTTTGATGGTTTCTGTTTGTCCAGTCTCTGG